GGGAGGAGTAGGGTAAAAGAAAGAAGGGAATAAAATTAATATGAGAAAAAGAAAAAATGGAAACAAAGTCTTTGTAGATAGGGAGGGGTGGAAGGGTTGAAGGAAGGGCAGGGGAATGGGGGAAAAATAAGAACTAAGATGGATTATATAAAAGTGCAAATTTCCAATGATGAATGTCGTTATATTGTATACCTTAAATGTACCAATAAAATTAATTATAAAAAAAGCCAGTAACTTGATCCATCATTGTGAAAGTTATAGAATTTTCAAAGGTAACTATGAAAGACTGTAGTTGGGCTCACTGTGGTCTCTAACTGCATGGTGCAGTTTTATCTCTGTCTAGGAACATAAAAAGGTCTATGCAGAAGGACAAATGGGCTAAGGAAGTCTGAAAGAGACTGAAGTAAGGCTTAATGTACAGACTGTGTTCTATTTGTTATTAGGGAAAGTTAGCCAAGATGACATGGCAGCCTCTTTGCCAACTCATGAATATTTACTTGATATGTATCCTGAATCACTTACCTATATAATAAAACTCTGATGAAGAAATGACATATTCTGTTTCAGTTTCAAACCTCAGGCTGCTCTCATCTAATGTCAACAATTCAGGAAGAAACACTTCCCAGGGCAAGAGAATATACTAAGTCCATATAGGAACAGCTTCAGGAAAATAAAACATCTGCTTTGACAGAGATTCTAGAGCAGTGGTGGCAAACCTATGGCACACAAGCTGCAGTGGGCTGTTTGTAACATTGAAAGCTCTAAAAGGTTCCCATCCGGTTCTAGGGCCATGTTTTACACATGTGTACCTAAAAGGACTGTCTATAATTATAGAATTAATTCTCATTAATTGAATTTTATCTTAGCAAACTAACACAATGACAAATTACAACTACAATATCATGGTTTAATTTTAGTAAAAAAAAAGGGGGGGGGCTATATAGTTTTATAGTATGTTACCTGCGTTGTTGCTACTGCCTCTGATATAGTAGCCTTTCAGTCCCAAATTGCACAATTTTCGATCCCTGTGAAACAAAATAAACAGTCCATATTGAAATAAACTGCACTACCAATTTAAAAGGGGAAAAAAGTACAGACTAATAATTAAAAGATTCAGAAACAGAAAAGCAATCCACTAATACACTTTCCTCACCTACATTGTAGAGATAACAACATATTTTCCATGAAGTTTTAAGAATTGTCAGTATATATAAAATACTTAGTATAGTCCATGACACATGGAAACATTCATAATTACTAATTATATGGAAGTGCACAGTAGAATTTCTCCTGGATACTGGAGGAAGAATTTGATCTTTACGATACATAAACACTGAGGTATTCTCTAAATTTTGCTGGAAAAATTGAGCTTAAAATATTAGTAAAAAGATTTAGCTTACACATATATAAATCCACACACAGACTCTAGTCCATTTGCAAACAGGACAAACATCCATTATCTAGTATACAAGATATTCATGTCTGCACAAAGGTTGTTTTAAGGACTAGCGAACAATGAAGTTATTAAACTTTCCTTTACTGGCAATCATAGCTAAGACTAGTTTTCTTCAAAAGCTACAATAACCTAAACAAAGTACAATTCTTATATGCTTGATTTATTTTCTCACCTTACTATTTCTTTCGGGGGGTATATTTTATAAAACATAAAGTACTGCAGGTGATGATTCTCAGCAGGACAGGGGAGGGGATGAAGTACAAGTGTGTTCGGGTAGCGTGTCCACTGGCCCCTCAAAAACTAGGAGCCTTGAGGATAAAGTAGAGTAGGAGCTGTATAAAACACCTTGGTGGAAGAGAAGGTCAATATGGCTGCCAGAATGATTACAATGAGCAAATAAGCAAATGTACTGAGGATAATGACAGCTGAGAATCTCCTTTATGAAGTTTACTTAAAACATGGCAGGCTCAAGACAAATCATCTACAAACAAAGAAGGCTAGAAAGAATCTCAAGGTGTTGGGTGGCCAATATTGGAAATACTGTTATAAATCAATGGCATTTAATTATACAACAGCAGCTATAAAGGTAGTTTTAAGTGTATTATATATGAATATTATGTACATATGCACACACACATACATATGTATATTAGTTGCTTTTATTCTTGTTGCTGAGACAAAATAACTGACCACCCAAAGTTAAAGGAGGAAAGGATTATTTGGCTTACAATTGGTAAAGGTTTCAGTTCATAATTGGCTGGCTCCAAGGCAGGGATGGCAAACAGGCATTGCAGAGGAGAAACAACGTGGTGTGCACAAGGTAGCAAAAGCAACAAGGGACCTTAGCAGTGTCTTTTTGCTCCTTTTATCTTATTCAAACTACCAGGGATTAGGGTGATGCCAAACAAATCACGTGTAGTGGTTTAGTAATCACATGCCCTTAATCCTACCATCACACCTAGCTACCTTTGAAAAAGACTGCATGAGGCTTTGAGGGGTCATCTAGACACAAGCCACAACAATACGTAAAATACATATACACACTGCCTAACTCTGTCTACTGAGAGGGCATAGGAACAATAGGCACACTGCGTACTCAGCATTTGGTTTTTAAACACTATTCTCCATTAAAAGAACCAACGTACCTCGGGTGAATGGTAATTCTGTGGTGTGTAAAAATTAGCCTGGGTCATCTCATGTTAAAAGGTTATGAAGCATTCAAAGAATGCTGGAGATATAGCAAAAGGACTAGAAGCCACTTCAAAAGATGCCCCACTGGCAAAACGAAAGACAACATGAGTACCAAGTAATGATAGGAATGAAATATATCCAATTAATAACTTAAGGATGAAAAGTCCATATTAACATAATGAAACAAATAAATACATGGAGAGAAAAGACAAAAATGCTCTTTTTAGAATACTAGCTAATAAATACCGAAGGGATTAAAGAATTGTTTTGGCAACCTTCAGAGAGGAAGCTGATTGAGGTAGACACTGTTGATGAAGGCTAAGGTTTATGGGTTTGCTGAGCAACAGGATACTGGATACATGGAATATGGTCCTCTCCCCCCAAAAGAAACCATGATTTATACAAGGGTAACTGTGACTTTATAGTGCTGGGATTACAGGCATGTACCACTGATATAGGGGGAAGAGATGTAACTCCCAAACCTACTAGATATCTGAAACTCGAGTTCGTGTTCTCTAAAATCGAAGAATGAATTCTAGGAACAACAGAGGTTAAGAGTAGGAAAAATTTATTGAAAGAAAGATAGCTTCTGTCTAAGAGAGACAGAAGGGGGACCGGAAAGTGGGTTGCCCGCTCACCCAATTTCTCAAAGGTGTTTTATGGGACAAAGCCATGAGGGGAGGTGGGCTCAAGGTGGGACAAAAACTATAAGACCCAATGGAAAATTATAAGGTGGGCATGAGGTGGGGCAAAACCCTGAAAAGGGTCAGATATTTCCTGGAAAGGCTGCGTTAAGACAGTGGCCCCCCACCCAGGTGATACCTATTTAGAATATCAATCCCAGCTATTCATCCTACATGGGTGTGCTAGTTTCTCTCCTTTTACAATGCTGGCCTTCAGTGAATGTGTCTTCAGTGTCCTCCATGTTGGCTTCATGACTGTCCTCCGTGTTGGTTCCTCCTGGGCTGGCCCTGTCTAACTGCCTACAAAATATCTAATTAACTTACCTATCTGCAATACCACCATACCAGGCCTTTAAACTTTCTAATGTTCATTGCCCAGTGAGGCACTTGGGGGGAGTACCAAATGTGCTCAAATAGCTTGCCATCTACCTCTTTCCCAGTTAATCCACCACTTTTCTTTTTATATTAAAAAAATGTTAAGCCAGTGTAGGGAACAGGGAAAGGGGACTTTACTAGAACCTCTACATTAAGTCCTAGTCTCCTGTGAGCCTCAATAGCACAAGGTGAATTAATTAATATACAGACAGAAGCTGAGTTTTGGGCCTGATCAATGCTGGTCTGGGCAGCAAAGACAAAAGACCCCGAGCTTGCCACACCTTAAGCCACACCTTTATTTGGTACATGAGAAACAAATGTAGCAGGTGACTCAAAGGACTGCAATAATCCTACAACAACAGGAACTATGTAGATGAAGATCTGGTTCCTCCCAGGATGTCTCCAGCTGGTGTAATCCTGCCCTGGAGCATCACAGCATCACCCAACCATTGAGGTCTTAGCTGTGACCAAAGGTGAAAGTTATGGTTCCATAGCTCGCCTTTAGGCAGGAAAACTAGGCCCTAATTATGGTTTAATTGTGAAATGATTTTCCCCCAAAATTATGTAGAATTGAATTGCTCTCCACAAGCCAGCAAAGCAGTACATGTCAGTAATCCTAGCACTCTGGTAGGCTGAGGCAGGAAGATCTCAAGTTCCCATCCAGCCTGGACAATTTAACAAAACTCTGTTTCAGATTTTAAACAATAATAAAAAGAGGTGGGGATTGTAGCTCAGCGTAGAGTGTCCTTGGGTTCAATCCCCAGTACCAGAAGAAAAAAAAGTTGGAATTCCTCAAGGATAGATTCTCCCACTTCCATTAACAGCTTCAATTACTATCTAAAGGTGAATGACTCAAGTTTTTAAGCCTAGCCCAGACTTCTCCAAAACTGAAAACAGCTTGTGTCTAGATGTCTCCCCAAGTCTCATGTGGTCATAGATGGGGTTTTTCAGAGGTGGACGGATCTAGAGTGTGTGATGCTAGAATTAAATGTGTGATGCTAGGATTAAGGGTGTGTTATTACTAAATTAGTCCACTGACTGGTTTGGCATAATTCTGGGTGTGGATAATGGGAAGGCCCACCCTTGGGTGTGGTGCTACCTACCCTAAGGGATATAAGGGACAGAAAGAGGGCTGGATAGAATATAAGCTACATAAAGAGGGCTGTTGACATTGCTTGTGGCTTCTTCACTACTTTGCTGCCTTCTACCCCCCCATGAATTTTTTCTCTCTTTGATGCCCCTCTGCCATGCCACCTTGCCTTGAAGATAGCCAACTATGAACTGAAACCTCTACAAACTGTGAGCTACAATAAACCTTTCCTCCTTTAACTCTGGGTGTCAAATATTTTGTCGTAGCAATGAGAAAAGTAACTAAGACACCAACATATATAAAATGTATCATCTATCCTTCCATATCTCATAGGTACACCCAAACCAAAATACTGTATGCAAAATCAAATTCATGACCTCGCTACTGTCCCAAAATAAAAAACACAATTTAGAGAAAAGCAGCAATACAAGGCAAAAACCAATTACCCTTGACCTAGTCTCCCTCCTACTCTTTAACTTTCCTTTGCCCCTCCCCCATCTAATCCAATCCACAATACCAGCAATTTTCTGTCTTTCTCCCTTTCTACTTTCCCCTATCCTAATCCAAGCCACATAACTTCTTGCCTGGACAACAGTCGTCAGTGGTTCTTTGCCTCTCTACTGCCAGAATAATGCTAATCTAATCCTGTCACCCACTTGTTTAAGGTTTCCTTATAAAGATGCTTCTTGATCTAGGACGTGGTTATGCCCAGATTTGCTTTCTTCCACTCAAATTTCTCCCAGCGATCCTTTAGATCTCTCTCTGCATGTTACTTCCCAAAGAAACCTGAGACCCCTGGAGAAGGGATGTGATCAAAGCATCATGTAATTCTCTCAACATTTGTAACTATAATTAATAAAGTAGCTGTGTAACCAGCTGTCTTAAGATTGATCTCCTCTGCTAGAAAGTAAACTCAGTGCATGTAGGGACAGGCTCCGTCACATGCCCAAGTGCTTACCAACATACAGTACTGATACACAGAAGCTCAAAAACTAGTCACTGAATAAACCCATGCCTGACTACAAAGGGGATAATTTTTACATTAAATTTAATGTTTTTTTAATTGGGGGTGTCAATTTTCAGATTATTCCATAAAAATAATGAAAAAGAAGTCTTCACATTTAAATTCTATTACATTGAAGGTCTATCACATAAGATTTGCTTCCACAAGGATTTTAATCTAATAGGAACCACGTTAGATTAGGATAAATACTAACATTTCCGGAATGAAAAAATATTTAAATGCGTTAACATTACACATTTAACATAAAGAAAACAATTTCTAGATTTCAATTTTCTGTTTAGCCCCCCCCCCCGCCGCTAATTTCCATACAGGGGCAATTTTAATCTGAAACATTTCCCAAAAATAAAGATACTGATGTAAAAATAGTTCAGCCTTTTATCTGAAATAGTTAGACGGCTTAGTTAAGTGCATTTGGACTTGCATAGAACTCCCTCCCCCAATACTAGGGATTGCACCCAGGGTCTTTACATTGAGCTACACAGCTCTTTTGCATTTCTGATTCTGAGACAAGGTCTCTCTAAGTTGCTTAGCTGTCCAGACTGGGCTTGAACTGGCCAACCTCTTGCCTCAGCCTTCCAGAGTGCTGGGATCACAGGCAATAAACACTGCGTGGCTAGGTAAGCTTGAGTAGATTTTAAGGTTTGATAAGAGATGTCAATCAAAATAAATTACTCAACTTTAAACCTTTACTTTCACTTCGGTTAGCACTTTCATTTTACATTCACTTTCCTCCCCAACCCCCCAGCCCCTCTTCGACACTGGGGATTGAACCTAGGGTCAGTGCGCTAAGCCACAAGCTAAACTGCCCAAGCTGGGGTGGAATTTAGTATCTTTCTGCCTTTGTCTCCAGGAATATCGGGATTACAGACTTGCGCGAACATGCCTGGCTTTCTTCCAATTTTTAAATGCCCCCTCTATTTGTACATATAAAATGACGTTTCGGTTACCACATCCTTTCATAACGGCCTACAAAATCAGAATTAGTCTTTCACTTAATAATAATGATAATAGGCAACCACTCCGTAAAGTTTGCAGATTTTTGTATGGCGTGTGTGAGTGTGACACTAGGGATTGAACCCAGGGCCTCACGTGTGCTAGAGACACGCTCTACCACTGAGCTACATCCCCAGCTTTTAAAACCTTTTAGATCGGGTCTCGCTAAATTGCCCAGGCTGAGATCCTTCCTCCTCAGCCTCCCCAATAGCTGGAATTACAGGCGTGTGCCAATGAAATTGTAAACACCTTGCCCTAGGTCTGCGAACAATTACAAGCAAGTATGCCACACTTACACTCCTCCGTAATGATCAGGATAAAAATGATGAAAAATGCGTTCCTACTTACTCCACAAATGCCCTGGTGCAGAGGCAATGGATTTTGTAATCCTTCTCCCGGTCTTCAAAGAAGAGAAACATTTCGGCCACGTGGCTCCACTTCTCGCAGCACATTTTGCCCCCTCACAGCAGCCCTGGCGTACGCAGCCTCTGTTGGACCTCTGCTCCTTTACCCAAGACCGAAAAAAAAACTTCGCGTGCCAGAGGGCGAGAGGTCAAAAACCGTCCCAGCACCTCCAACCAGGAACCAGCCGAGAATCTGACACAGGAAGTGGCTCTTGGAGGCTACAGGAAGGGGCGGGGAGACAGGCGGTGTCACGGCCTACGTTGTCCGGGCTGCTTCCTGACAGATTGCCTGGAAGGAAGGCGGCCGCGCAAATCATTGCGCTTTTCCCCGCGGCTAAGCCTCCGAGAGGTCCAGTCGCCGCTGGAGGGTAAAGGTGAGCCGCTTTTCTCTTCCCGTCTGAGGTGCGTCGGTGCTCTCCTTGACTTCTCCCCCCTCTCCAGGCCGGCGCTCGGCGTCGCGTCGGTCTCGCGGAGCCTCTCCTGAGTTGCCTGCGGCGGGCGGGCTCGGCGCTGAGCTCGGCGCGCTGAACGGGCTGGAAAGGGATGTCCGGCCCGGGATCCTGCGAGGTCTTGCTTGGCTCGCGCCTTAAAAGCTCCGATTCGGCGCGTTTTGCCTAAACTTAGCCGGTGGGGCGAAGTGTCTTAAGTCTCGACTGGAGGCCTCTTGCTTGCCCGGTGTCTTTCCCGACTCCAGGCGCCTTGAGCCTCCTGTCCACAAAGGCTAAGGAAAGTGTGTGGTGAGGAGGCTGCGTGGGTGCTGGTCAAGAGTGTTTGCGCCCAGACCGCGCTGGCTCGGGGGCCTGGCGTTTGCTCCTGTACTACCTGTGTGGCTTGAGCCAGGGACTTACCCTTTCTGAGCTTCATTTTGATCATCTGTAAAATGAGGATGAGCAGCAGCAGTATCTATGTCGTAGGACTGCTGGATTGACTAAGCGAAACTATGTATATCTAACCTTTCATTTGTGCAATTAATAGTTTAAGACAGACCTTTGTAGGCACCAGTCACTGGGATTTGCAGTCTGTAAAATAGGTCTCTGCCTTCAAGAGCTAAATAGCTAATAAATATAAATGTGCCCCTAACTAGGATGGAGAAAACCGGAACAACACTGATGATTAGGGGGAAAGGCAGCCAGTGTTATATAGTATTCCTCAACACTATCCAGGCAGCTTTTTCAAAGAAGCAAGTTCAGACCTGAAATTTGTTGGAGCGCTTAGGACTTGTATTTTGCCATTAATGCCTAAATGGCATTGGTACTCCTGGGACTGAGTTTAAATCCACACATTTAGAACCGTCATTGATATTTTGGCCTCATCTACGAGTGGGTGGAAATAGAAAATTAACTTTAAAAGGAAACATTTATTCCCAAACCGTAGTGCTGCCCCACTTTGAGGTCAGAAGCAGGCTGATTTTGGTGATACCAGTGAGAGGCCCCAGAGTTACAACTGAACCAGTTTAGATGTGTAGCATTATTGAGATGAGTGGATACGAACATAAGGGTAGAATAGTAATCATCAAATAGAGTGAAAGATTTTAGCTAAAAGTTTAAGGACATTCTAGGATTTAAAAAAAATTTAAACCTATAGTTTAAAAACTCTTGAAAGGCAATTTATATCAGAACCTTGAGCTTGCAGCTTGAAATCTAAGTTTGTCTCTCTGTCTCTGTCTCTGTCTCTGTCTCTCTCTCTCTCTCTCTCTCTCTATAACTGGAATTAAATCTTTAAAAACTTTTATTAGTACATGTCTGCAGTACATAATGATTACATAATTGCAAATATTTGTGGAGTGTGTTGTGGCATTTCAGTACCTGTATACAATGTATAATGATCAGATCAGGGTAATTTGCTTATCTGTCAGCGCAGACGTCATTTTCTTTGTGTTGGGAACACTCAAAATCCTCTCAGCTTTTTGAAATATACAATTTATTGTTGTTTTTTGTTTGTTTTCATGCTGGGGATTGACAGGGCTTTTTGAGCATGGTAAACATGTACTCTACCATCTACCTCTACATTTATTTTTAAAAATCTTTTTGATAATAACTATTCTAACTGGGGTGAGATGATTTCTCATTGTGGTTTTAAAATGAATTTCCTTGATGATTATGATGTTGAACATTTTTTAATGTACTTGTTTCCCATTTGTATATCCTTTTTAAAAATTTTGTCTTGCTATGGTGTTGATCTTGTTGTTTGTTTGGTACCCGGGATCGAACTCCGGACCTTGCACTTGTGAGGCAGGCGATGGAACCACTGAGCTAAATCCCTGGCCCCTCCTTTTTAAAAATTTAACTTAATTTTTTTTTTAATTGTACATGTTTGAGAAATGTCTATTCAGGTCATTTGCCTTCCTCTTTCCCCCCACAACTCCTGGGATTGAACCTAGGACCTTTAGATTGATCTATATTCCCAGCCCCCACACCCTTTTTTTGAGATAGGGTCTCTTAAGTTGCCCAGGTTGCCCTTGAACATGAAATCCCCTTGCCTCACAGTAATACTAGCTAGGATTACAGGTATGTGCCAGCAAGTTGGATGTTTGTGTACTTTTAAATTGATTTACTTGGGTTATTTTGTTTAGTCTTTTGAGCTCCTTGTCTGAAAATTGATTCCTTGTTGGATGAATAGTTTGCAAATACAGTATTTTCTCTCATTCTGTAGACTGTTTCCTTTGCTGTACAGAAGCTTTTCAGTTTGATGTAATCTCATTTGTTAAGTTTTGCTTTTGTCGCCTGTTCTTTAAGGGTCATATACAAAAAACTTTGCCCAGACCCATATCCTGAAGAGTTTCCCCTATATTTTCTTCTAACAGTTTTGAAGTTTTGAATTTTAAACTCAAACCTTTGATCTATTTTGGGTTGATCTTTGTATATACTGAGAGATAGCCATCTACTTTCTTCTGTATAGGGACACCCAGTTTTCCAGGAGTCTTTTATTGAAGAGACTGTTCTTTCTCCAATGTGTGTACTTGCTTTTTAGCTTTGTTCAAAATTAGTTGGCTGTAAATATGTGAATTTACTACTGCATTCACTGTTCTATTCCATTGGTCTGTGTGTGTTTTTATGCCAGTTCCATGTCTGTTTGGTAGTCAGGTATTGTAATGCCTTCAGCTTTGTCTCTCTTGTTTAGGATTGCTTTGGATAGGAGGTATTTTGTGGTTCCATATGAGTTTTGTGATTTTTTTTTTCTAGTTCTGTGAAGTATGTTTTTTATAATTCTGTGGAGAATGTCATTGATATTTTGATGTGAATTACTTTGAATCATTTTGAGTATATGAACATTTTACCAATATTCTTCCAACTCATGAACATGAGATGTCTTTTCACTTTTTGTGTCTTCTTTAATTTCTTTCATCACTATATGTTTTGTAGTTTTTATTGTAGCAGTTGTTCACTTCCTTGGTTAGATTTACTCTAGATTTTTTTTTTTTTCACTTACGTAGACAGCCTGAAGGTAATTTTTTACGGTATTTTTGGTTCACCTGCATTTTTACTGCAACTTATCACACGCAGTAGGTCCAGTGCAGAATGCTCCACTTGCTATTGTTCAAGAAATTTCTTTTTTCTTTTCTTTTTTTGGTACGTGGGATGGAACTCAGGACCTTGTACTTGCAAGGCAGGTGCGGTGCCACTGAGCTAAATCTCCAGCCCAAGAAATTTCTGATTTTAGAGCATTTTAGATTTTTGGATTAGAGATGCTCAATCTATGCCTGTTTTGGGGGGGGTGGTTTGGTACTGGGGATCAAACTTGGGACCTTGTACTTGCAAGGCAGGTGGCGGAACCACTGATCTAAATGCCTGGTCCGAGATGCTCAATCTATATGTAAAGTTGGGTACTATCCTCAGTTTTCTGGTATCATCTAGTGGTCTTGGAACATATCCCTTGTGGATAAAGGAACTCTGCTATAATCCTATTACTGTTTTGTCTGGGGAAGTCCTAAAATGTTGTAAGCTTTTGTATTCCTATTAAAGACTGGAAATGAAACTAGATTATCATGAGCAGCTGTTTTAAGCAGTAATGATCAGATCATTAAAATGTTGATTAAGCCTAGGAAAAGTTTCATTTGATGCCTATGAAAGGTTCATAAATTTTGTTATCTATTAATAGTGTTTAAATACTTTTTAGAAACTGAGATGTAATTCACCATAAGATCATTTTGCTTTGTACAGCTCAGTAGTTGTTTATATATTTGCAAGGTTGTACAACCATTGCTACTGCCTAATTCTAGAATATTTCATTGTCCCCAAAACATTTTGTTTCCATTAGCAATCACTCCTCATTTTCCTCCTCAATTGGCAACTACTAATTTTTTTGGCTCTATGGATTACCCTATTCTGGTCATGTAAATGGAATCATTAACTATGTGGCCATTTGTTTTGGTTTTTTTCACTTATCATACTATTTCCAAGACTTATCTATTCATGAGCCAGTATAGTACTGTATATCATTCCTA